CCCCAAAACCCCAAAACCCCAAAACCCCAAAACCCCTTTATACCTTATAGCCCAAGAATAGGATATTAGTAAAATTTATAGATAAAAGATTATAAATAACAGAGTATAAAGATAAAGCTTATTATCTATAAAATTAACAACCTTGATTTGACAAGAGAAATGAGAAAGAGGGACAAGACTAGTAGATAATTCCTTACAAACTGACTTACTTAAATAAGATATATAGATATGATTTAAATTATACACAACATTCATCATTAGGATATTTATCTATAGAAGAGGAGATATGCTTCCTAATTTAATGCCTCTGATTCAGAAACCTCTTTATAATTTTCATCATCAAATGCGAACCAACTGTTAAATCTCTTCGATAGGGCTACATAGTGACCCATTTCTAAGGATCCTATGTGGACTGTCAGTCCGAACAGCTCATATTGTAGGTTCTCATTGTCTGCGTAGTCTGAATACGAGCAATATCTAAAAGAATTATTAGAGAAAAATTTATGATCTTACTCTGACATATTAATGAAGTCAGGATATCTGCTTTTGCCCTTTATTTTTTTCATTGAAGGAAAGGCAAATCTTTTCAAATGAAAAACAATCACCTTTGGTAGCTTGCTTAAGTCGTGCTTAATTCTTGCCATTGAAGTCATTTTGCATTTCTCGCATCTATAGCTTTCTGTCTTGTCAAGGATATCCTCCCTCAGGAATTCAGCTAATGACTAGTCTAATGTCTTTTGAAAGGGAACTGATAGGGCCATGTAAGGGTTATAAGTAATGGACTAATATCCACATTTTCCACAGGTAACAATAGTTTTTTACATACCTATAAGAATAATGTTAGATGATTTTTTATGATTAGTATAGATCTGCAGGGATTTTAATATCCTGTAAAAAAGGAACTTACCAGTAAACATTCTGTCTATTATAGAAGGATGAGATTTATAGTATTCTCTAAGTATCTAATCTAAGGATTTAGAATTATCACTGCCATTAAATCTGCTTCCTTCAATTGGAGTTTCCTCATCTTACAAACTTCCAAATAGGAAAGTCATGAATTCATGACTGTCATGCTGCATAATTGGATGAAACTTTTAAGCAACCACGTCCTTCAAAAATTTGATTTCAATAATTTTTTAGTTTAATCTGAAGACATTCTTATAGAATGTATACAGCCCATTACTATAGCTAAAATCATTCCTTTTTGTCTATACGCTCTTGTATTTGGCGTATTCCTAGGACAAGTAATGATCTCTTAGCTCTTCTAGAGGAACCAAACATTACATGAAGGCATTAAGATAGCAATAATAGTTAATATTGCGGATTCCAACAATACCATCTGAGAGTCCAATCAAATTTTTGTGAATTTGTTGGCCATTTTTGTTTATTTATTAAGCATTACTATCGTTATAATTCTTATTCTAACTATGGTTATTATACCTATAGAAAGATAAGTTTGAGCTCGCAACTGACATCAGCTCGAACTTGTTTGAGCCTGCCTCAGATAGCTAAGTTACATTAAGTTTGCTATCTTGGTCATTTAACATGATTGCTGGACCACCTCCATATATATTAAAAAGGAAATCCCAAACCTCCTTAGAGACGTAGTAAAAATCTGTATTTTTCTTCAGCTTATTGAAATTTTCATCTATCACCAAATCCTTTTCGAGAACCTCATTATTGATAGGACCTGGAATAGATTCAAGTCTGTCACTCTTTTGAGAGAATTTTAGCCATTAAGTTATCCAATCGTTGCTGATTATATACATTTATTTTTTCTTCGATGGGTTATTAAACTAAAGGGTATTAAACTTTTCGTACTCGTATACACTTCGATCCCTCTTGCTTAACTTCAAAATTTCAAAATTGTATTTGGGAACTTCATGAATCGAAGTAAATAGCTTTCCAACATACGTCCTAATGATGGAATTCTATTCCTTATTGAGATCAGTTTGCAACTTAGGCTAGGATGCATTATTCCACTATTCCTCTACTCCTTGCTTCTATTCATTTCTGGCATTCAATATGTAGTCCTAATTATGAGGCATGGAGAATATTGAGTCAGAGGACATAACAATCTCAGAAGGTTTATTCTTTGCTTGACTTAAATCTTTATATATGCTTGGAAGTATTCCTTCTGCTTTGGTAAAGTATCTTATTTGAATAATTGGTCTGCAACCGTAGTTATCATAGAAGAATTTCCACATTGGCTATGTAAATTCACAATAATCCTCATTTTTCTTTAACTCAATATCATCATCTATACTGTTATAGCTGGAAAGATTTTATCTCCATTGAAGAATATAGGATCTCAGACTTGAGTTATCTATTTCACCAGGCAAGACTCCATTACCTTTGATGAACTGCCTCCATAACTGTACCCAATTTCCATCAATTACATAAAACAAAACAGACCCATCAGATTAAGTTACTCCTTCTTTTTTGGTTTTTAGCATATTATATATTTCCAATTCATGCTGTCTTCTTTCATTATCACTCATTTCCCTTACTTTGAAGTTTATCTTTCTGTTTTCCTAAGTGAACTCAAATCTCTTACATACGTTCAATAGTTGAGCTCCATTTTTAGAAGTGTTAGATCTCTAAGATGAATCCTGTCTTTAATTTCTATTATTTCTTCTATCAGAAACTGCTAAAGATTAATGAGAGACCTATGGCATATAGCTTTATTCAATCATCTGCTTAGTGTTGTAGGCTGTGTCTGGTACATTTTCAATACCATAATGACTTCTTCTTTGTGAATCAGAAGCTCCATCATTTTTGTATTCTTCATCCACCTCATTAATAACATTATTGCTGAGGCCATTATTGTTTGATTGACTTGAAAATTGACTGAACTGATTTGACGCCAATCCTCCCTGGTTATAGTTTTTACTTGACAGAGTTGCGTTAGGTGATTACTTGGAAATTGAGCTCATCTCATTTCGATTTGAACCAACTATAGTTGTTTGATTATCACTGCCATTAAGCGCAGAACTCATACTGAATTCAACCCCATTCACCTTTTTTTATTTCTGAGTGTCATCATTATACCCTACTTAAATGCCTGAGCATTCAGGACACTGTGGTTTAACATTATTTTGAAAGGATGAATTAGTATTGTCGTTTTTCTTCAAAGAATTCAGTCTTCTTGGAGCTCCGTTATTGGCAACTTTGATATCAGATCTTTAAGTTGAAGGATCATTATTATAATCTGGACTATTCATATGACTTTATCCAATCTACATCACAAATTCCTTCCCACATTTAGAGCACTATTCAAGGCATTCATTATTCTAGATTGGGGTTATCTGCAATTAATTAGTCAATAAATGAATGATTACCTAGGCTGTAAAGGTCTTATTATTTTTTATGGGGGAGATTGAAGAATTTAGAGCACCTTTCGGGGGCTTTGATTTGGCAAAGCAACTGAAAAACTTCATTTAAATAATGAGTATATTATATTAAAATATTACATTTATTAAAACTCATTTAATTTCTTAATCATTTCTATATCTTTACATAATAATGTGATGGGGTTTTGGGGTTTTGGGGTTTTGGGGTTTTGGGG